CCACACGACCACCCTTCACCTCAGTTAAGCTCTGATGGTGGAGAGGAAAAGACCACCAGCGCCCTCCGGTGGTCAAACAGAGCGACAGAGGAGCAGTGAGTTGGAGGCAAAATTGGTTTTGTCCACGATAGGAAGGCAACCTCCAGTCGTATCAGCTTGTTGAATATGTTCATGAGCACTGGTGGTGTGGCAATGAAAGCAGATATAACAGCTCTTATGTTAGAAATAGTTTGAAGGTTAATTTAAATTGCATTTTTAAAACAAAATGCCTCATTGAACATCATTGAAATACTTTTTTATCGTTCATAAAACTGTCCTAAAGGCATTATTCAAACTTCTAACTAGGGAAGCAGCTGCCAATCAAAATTGTAATCGAATGAATAAAACGTGACTGAGGTTACAACTCAAATTAATGTTTGTGTAATACCAAATCATTATTGTATTAATAAACACCTTCGCAGTGGAAACAGAAGAACATCAAAGTGTATATAGAGCATTTCAACTGCAGTCTAATATACGAGTGTGGAAGTGAATTTAAAGATGGCATAAGAGCATCCTCTGCAGTATTTGGTTTCTTACGTGAGTAGAGTTGTCTATGTCTATGTCCACTGTGCTGTTAGCGTTTGATGGGGGCATGTAAAATGACACATCTCACAGAATCAGTCCTCCTCTCCACTCTGGCCCAGAGCAGCTGATATCCACTGTCATCTTCCAAAGATCAAAATGTGTATGTGTTGTTTCGGAAGGTTGCATGGCGGCAGTGTCTGAGGAAACATAACTTGTCCCAGATTTTCTGCATTTACTTTTAGATTTAGCAGATTGATGTATTCAATATATCTGCAAGCTGGGGTATGGATTGTGCTGACAAATAAAAAAGTGCACTACCCACAAAGCAGGGGAGAATAGGGAGGCAGGAAGGAAGGAAGGAAGGAAGGACAAGTGTTTAAAGAGCCACCTTGAGAGTACGTAAGTCCGAAGAAATGCCTCTGGTCTTTATTTGGAGTTTGTCTGTCTTGTAAGAAAATGTTTTCTTATTCCGAAGGGTCTCACTCAGACATTTGCGTGACTGTGATGTGCACAGATTGCTTGTATTGGTCTACACAATATAATATAACCAGTGCACTTGAGTGAATATTTCAGTTAATGATTGAAGCAAATTCATATAGTTGTCATAATGCGTAAATTTGAGACAAAGACAGTGAAACTTCTGCGACTTTTTTTTCTTAATGTACCACATTATAATTTTTTGTTTTCTTCTCCCCTTAAACAAAAATCTTACAGGACTGAGGCAGCATGTGTTTTGCCCTGTGAGTCGTCTGGATTTCCATCTCATTTGAGATTAACAGAGAAGAGCTGTTTTGGATTTGCTGAGCTCCTCTCTCTCCCTCTGACAGGCTCAGATAAGAGTCTGCAGACGCTGAAACACAGTCGTCGAGGAAAATGCCCTTTTCTACATGGTTAAGACTGCTCCACGTCTCCCTTGTTTCCCGAAGCTAATTCTTTGTGGAAAGGATTATTGGGACACACTGTGAAGAGCTTTTATCGTGCTGTCAAGTGAATGGTGACTTCTTTGAGTATCACACAAGGGTTAGACCAATACGTGGCCAGTGCTGTATGTTAGAATTGGACATCATCCATTTAAAGCTTACCACCACATGGTTGCTGCAGCTAATGGAAAGTTGTTAGCTAGTGTTAGGCCCTAATTCAACCCTTGTATTTGCTTCCTTTGGGATCAGTGTCTTGGAAATGTATTCCTGACTGTTACACAGACAACAAACGGCTATATCTCCCACTGAAACCTGATGATCCATGTGTCTTTACTGCTTTCTTAACCCTTCTGAGGATGTGCCTCCTAAAACCAAACCAGAATTACACTGTTCTGCGACACATTTTTGCCTTTTTCAATAAATGTAAGAAATATCATCATTTATTAATCTAAAACCTCAGGAGACGCATTGAGGTGGAACCCTCACTTTTCATATAAAGCAATACAAAAAAACCTGTATATACATGGTTATACCAATTTAAATAAGTTCAAAAATAAATTAAAAGTAAAAGTTATTAAAGTATTTTCGCACAATTTCATAAGTGTAAAAATGAAAAAATAAAATAAAGATAAATCATCATCATGTCTCTGTGCATAGTAGTACAGTATATTAATTTCAGCAACACAACACATACATCTTTTAGTTGAGATATCCATTGCACAGTAAGTTATATGAATTGGTCAGCAGTAGATTTGGTTGTTGTCGTGCTGTTGTCCAGATAAAGTGCAGACATTGCTGTGAAGTGAGAACATGGTTGTATCCCAGCTCTGCCTTTCATCCTTTACCTGTGTCATTAGATGAGGAGAACTCAGGTCACAATGGGCCCAGCTTTAGAAAAGCACAGAGGAGTGTGTAATTACACTCGGCTTTGATTGCCTCTCATTTGGAGCAGCCTGTTCAATAGCTGTTACATGGAGCCTCTCCTCTGGTGGCTGTTTAATAGCCCACTGGTCGGGTTTCCATTTGCACCCCAACCTGCTGCTGCTGTCAACTCACTTCAACAAACTGCAGCCCCTGTCCTTTCTCTGACGGGTGGTGTTCCATCCAGAGGGTTGTACACACACACATGTTCAAAGCTAAGTTTTTCTTAAAAGAACAACACCAGTTGCAGGGTTTTAATTCAATGAATGTGGCACAAGAAAAAAAAAGTGATTTTATACGTGTGAGATGTCAAATGATAACAGGATATCATGTTTATTAGCTTTTGGCAACTTTTTTGTTACTAATAGTGTGGAAATTTAGAAATGATTTTGAATTACTTCAACTTACCTTCTTATCTATGAGTCTAGTTAATGGAGGTGCTTTCTGTCAACTTTTCATGCTATAATTATTGTGGCACATATTTGTATACTGTACTATCAACAATTATCATCAAACTTTAATTGGACTTTACTCTTATCGCTGAAATATGTGAAATTTATTCCCAACATGTTTGATTTAGGACAAACTGAATGGGGGGTATGCTGTATTTCAGGGGTTCAGGTAAAATTGATGAATTATCCAGTAAATGTTTATATTAGTTTGCAGTGTTATGGTTGTATGCTCATGTGCTTGTTATTAGTGTGTGCCAGTAAACTCTCCTGTCACTTTAGAAACTGCTATATCCTGAGCACAGTGACCTGACCACCACACTTACCTGATCTCAGTTTGTTGCTGAAAGGTGTTACGCTTATATTGGCTACTCTTGTAGAATTTAACAACAGATACCTTTGCTGTTATTTTGTACATGAACTAAACCATATCCATGGATAGTCTACTGTACACTGTATATAATTACCAATATAAATAAAATATGCAATTCTTAATTCTTAATAATAACAATAATAATAATAACTAGGGCTGTGAGCAGCACTGTGAGGGCCCGAGCACTTGTAAACTCGGGACCTGATTCAGCCGCGGAGGAGGGTGTACAGGGACTGGGCGAAACAGCGTGTGTTTTGCGGTACGTGGGAAGGATAAACGCGTCACTTCCTGCGTCCATCAAGTGAAGACCACACGGTGCAATTGTAAAATGAGGCTTACTTCCTGTTGCCAGTAGGTGGCACTATAACTAGATGGGGATACTCGGCCCACTCCGGAAAAAGATGGCGAGGAGAGAATGGCTGTTCACAGTTCTTTATTACAAGCGTCAGCCTTATCAGGCGCACACACATATAATCGGGTCTCTTGACCCACACACATCCACACTTCCTCACACGCCCTGTGGTCTGCTCCCTCAGAAGCCCAGCCTACTACAAGAGACCAGAACAAGGTTACCAGCATGCTCTTATTGATTGACTGATTACCTGATTCTGCACAACAACTTAATTTTCATGCTGATCAGTACCTGGCACTATGAACCTGAGACAATATTAAAATATGGAGCTATTCAGGCCGGGACAGCACAGAGGACTTGTAACAAACCCCTCTTTTTCGGTGAATCATCATACTTTGAAGCCACGCCACAGTCACACTGTATGACAAAAAACTCAGATAAGTTAAGTCTAGATAGGTTTTATTCCCATGTTGTTAAGATGAAACTCACTGATTTTGAAAGCTCGAGGAGAAGTTTCTTAAAATACACGTGTGTAAAGGTGCAAGCAGTTTATTTACATGGAAAACTAACTTAAAGTAAACATGGTAATCAGTTCTGTCAGTGGTGTCTGTAGTGTGTGGGTGTGTGTATAAAAATAAGAATCAAACAGTATTGTGCCACTGCCATGTCCATGGTGGTCCTGGTGAAGGAGAGAGCAGACAGAGAGGGAGAGCCCAGTCTGCAGTCCCCTTAAATGCTGGTCTTAGATGCTGAATACAATGTCTGACTCCACCTACAGGAACCTGAAACCCATAAACAAGTACAACACCACAGCAGGACAACTCCAGGGTTGTCACATAGTCATCATGTGCCTCAAGTGTTTGTTTGCTGTGGTGCGTTTTCTCTTACATTGCGGTAAGAGGTTGTCTCTCCTCCACCAAGGAAAAATCTCTATGTCCCCGCTCTGAATTTGTGAGTCAGTCCAGCACAGTTGCCTTGAAGGTCCAAGGGATTCAAGGAGATTGTGTCCTGGGGGCTCTTTTTTTAATCTGGTGAATTTATATTATTCTTAAAATGACCATTAAATGGACCATGTCATAAAGTGATTGATTATAGTGATTATAGTGATTGTATTGTTCTTACAGTTATATGCTGTAAGCTGAAAACATTTTACTTTGAAATTCGGTTGTGCATGCCATTTCCTAACAATATAATGATCAAAGGCTTGACCAATGCCAAATCACTCAATGAGATGCCATTGATCTTGGCTGTGTTATGGCTTTAAATTATACATATTATCAAACATCAAAGGAATGGCTATGTCTGCAGTGACTGGTAGACATAGCTGAGCCGTTCAGCCCCAATAGATTGACATCATGCAACTTAAACAGAGTCATTTGTTGTCACTATTTTCTGTGTTAGTCACTTTAATGGTTTCCATGCTTCTGTTCTTCGAGAAAAAAGACACAGACAGTTTAAAAGAAATACATTTTCTTTTGGTACAGCAAAGCAAAAATCAGTACCAGGATCTGAAAGCTCTTATTGAGAACATTGAATTGTCGAGGAAGAACAATCAAGAACGTCCAATCCAAAATTGCATCGAGGAATATGCCAGACTGGAAGCTGAATTTAGAATTCTGCAGGCAAATCACACACAATCTTCCTTGAAACCGGACCACAACAGCACGACAGGAACAACAGGAACACCAGGAACAACAGGAACAACAGGAACACCAGGAACAACAGGAACAACAGGAACACCAGGAACAACAGGAACAACAGTGCATCATTTACGTTGCAGGCCAGGCTGGGAGCAACATGCTTCACGCTGCTTTCATATGCCCCAGTACACCAAGAACTGGGAAAATGCTCGTGAGGATTGCATTGATCAGGGGGGTGACCTGGCAGCTGTTTTGGATGTTGAAGACCAGAAATTTTTGACCAACCTGACTTTTCAGTTTGTACAGGAATATCTTCAAAACGATTTCCATTCAGCATGGATCGGTTTACATGACCAGGTGCAGGAGGGCACATTTGTATGGGTCAACAGCAGCAGACCCAATACAGAAGTCACTTACTGGAAAGATGGGGAACCAAACAATGCCATTGCACCCTGGGACGCTCAACAGAGAGGACAAGACTGTGTTGCCATTATACCACCCAAAAACATTGGAGCAGGGGACTGGTTACTTAACTGGGATGACATTATCTGTGTTGGCAAACGGCACTTTGTGTGTGAAACAGCTGTTGATCGTCCTCCATGATCCAGTCAGGCACTCTTCTCTTAACATGTAATGTAATATACATTACATACATAATACGGTATATAGTGGCATATACAGTCATGTGTGAGGATATACGATAATTCTTCAACAACGACAGTACAATATGAATAACCTGTGTTCTTCACAAGGTTAGTGAGAAAATGAAAGTTAGACATGTTAAATGTTTGTTGCTTTTGTGAAGATTTTACAATGTATGGTGGGAAATATGTATGTATATTCATTAAAAAAATGTATAATTGCAAATCAATTGTGTAAAAATCACGCCACAAATGTGGTGATTGACGAAAACTCACAGTTTCCATATGATGTCTTCATCAATGTCTTGTTGCTCTTCTGACAAAGTTTGACTTGGTTGCAGTCAATGGACAAGGAGGAGTACATCCAAGTGTAAGATGTGCAAAAAAACAAGACATTTCCTGTTGCCAGCAGGGGCGCTCTGATTTTAAGTCATGATTTCTGTGTAGATGTGGGACTCTTGTCATACATGTCCAGTTTGGAGTCCAGTGGACCATGTATGTCCGGGATACAACAATCTCGTGTTTTGATGGTGAATCATCATAATGTGACACCACTCCACATTTCAGCTTGAGTGAGGTTTAATTCCTATGTTAAGATGACACCCACTGATTTTAAAAGTTGATCTGATGAAAGCTCTCGCAGGAGTTCTTAAAATACACTCTGTGTAAAATGGCCAACTTCCCGTTGCGTTAATGAAATTGGTGGCAGGGACTTTTTTTGATGTGTCCGGTGATGCTACACATGTGTAACTAATTTTGTGAAGATCGGTTAAACCAAAAGGAATCAGTGAGTTTTAGAGGGCACTGTTGAGCCATTTTGCCACTGTCGTTGCTCTGGCCCTAATAATGTTATTATTTCTGATAAAAATGGTGGCTAATCACTTGAAGAGTTTCCATAAGTTATGTGTCAGATTTATTTTCTTCTTCTCTTCCCTGCATTTGAGAAGGCAATACCCACCTCTGTCTTCCTGTCTTCACCTCACCACTGTGTTGGCTTTTAATAGAGATTTGTCACTACAACAACATAGTGCTGTTTCACTTTGACCCCAGTTATTGAACTGGGGTGTGTGTGTGTGTGTGTGTGTGTGTGTGTGTGTTTCTGTGTGTGGCCCCTTGTCTTTTCTGGGGTTCGGGAAAGGGTTTTAAGAGAGACAGTTAATTACAGAATGCAAATTATGCTGTCAGAACAGCCATTCAAAAATGGCTTCTTCTGCCTCCCTGCTTGCCTGTTCAGGCAGATTTAAAAAGCATCGCTCTGAAACACTCCTGCAGGCAGCCCATCTGCATGAAACACAAAGTAATCTCTCAGCAGTGACTCCCACTGTTCCAGCCATGACAACATCATTCATGCTAAGTAGAGTCATAGTAGATGAGAGATGGGGACACTTGTTCTTACACTGTGGTGAAGAGCACTTGCTCATGTTGAGTTAGACTGGAAGTGGAGAGGAAAGGGTTACAACAATGAATTGCTTTGTAGACATTTCTTTAGCTGTCAATGCTACACTGGCTTTACAGCACTAACCCAGAACTTAAGAGTATGCGATTTTGCATTGGGTCGAATGGAGCAGTTGCATCACATTGACACACATCCCCATAAGATAACTCTAATAACAATCTGCAAGAGGATGAAAAAGGCTGCATGGTGATGCCAAAGCTAACTAACATGTCCACAAACAGTTTAAAGATAGGCATTCACATTATAGAAGCAGTTGAAGGCCATACACAGAAATCCTGTTTCAGCCTCCTATTCCACTGTCCAAGTAGGCACAGGGCATATCCCTACAATTCCTCGAGCTAGGATGGTGAGTCTGGAGGTACTTGCTTCTGCTCGAGGCAACCAACATATTCAGCTTTAAGGTCCCACCACTTAAGCATGTTGGAGATATTAATGCTTTTACTTTTGAAATACCCCGGACATACCCTTAGCATCCAGTAGCAATATCCAGCAACTGGAAAAGGAAGTGTTGGCCCCTGCAGTACAATGGTATTGCTTTCCCATTAACATCTTTGTTACAAAAATATTTATATTTTTAAGCCGTTTCTGGTGATATGTGCATCAATCAACTACATATGACTGAAGCTTAAATGTCTAAACTAGAAGTGTATTTCAATTGGGAAATTCCCATATGTTTTTAATATGTTGTTGCCATAAGTTTTTTCAGTCTTTATGCTCAGCTAACTGAGACTGCTGTAGCCTCATACTTATTGTGCGAACATTACATTTTTGTGGTAAGTGTATTTTCCAAATTGTTGTTTTAATCTCCAGTCAGTAGTGTAGTGTCAGAGATGTACAAGTGTTCTTACACTAAAGGGGTCACAACTATCTACCTATGCCTTGTTTCTAATCATCTCTCTCTTGTCATTTCAGATCCAGTCATTGCAAAAGCCACTAATCACCTCATTCCCTTCACCTAATGGGTGGAATCCTGTCATTTACTACATAAGGATGATCATGCTGTATGACTGGTACAAGCCAAATGCTTGTTTCACACAATTAGCTGATGTCTGCGCATCTGCCTTAAATTCAAAAGACTTATCATTTCCACATTAAGTCAACACAGATCTTTTCTTTACTATGGTCTTCATCTTGCAGTGGGGCTGCTAGCCCTCAAGCTTCAGCGTGCATCAGCTCCACTCTTCACCTCTTAAATCTCCACAGAGCTCTGGAGAGTTTACAACAAACAGATAACATTTAAAGTGCGAGGTTGCAGGCTTCCAACCCCCCACCATCAACCACCCTCCCAGCACGTTATCTTAATTGTACAAGACAGGCAGCCTGAAACTACAGAAGAATCAAAAAAGATCAGCACGTTCAATTTAAACTGCGGGACCATGCAGGCAAATAGGAATCTCTAATTACTTATGCTAATACAATGATGACAGAAAGGCAGGGAGGCAGAGGAGGAGAGAAGCAAGGAGGATGGTGGGAAGGCTCCATTTGGTGTATCACTCAGGGTGTGCTGTAATTAAAAAACAGAATTAATCTTTTGGACGTACAGGCTCAAGAAGAGGCAGACCTCTCTCATAGTGTGTCCCCAGTGAGGAGCAGAAGCCACTGAGAGGTAATTACTGTTATCTGCTGGCTGTTTTATTAACATGTGTCCTCAAAGAATGGAGGAGCTTAACTTAGCTCTGCTCTGAGCGATGCCACGATTGATAGACCAACACAGAAAATGATTACAAAATGGAAAATGGGCCCCATTCCCTTCTCTTGAACCTGAAAAGAAAATGGAGAGTGGTTCCTTGTTTATTTGTTTGTTTGCTCTTTTTACACTACACTCCACTCTTTAAATGCCCTCCGGGGTCTGAAATTTTCTCAGATGTATGGATAGAGTGAGGAGGAAGAACAGAAAGTTGGAATACACTGAATGGGGAGGTGATAGGAGGGAGAGAATAAGACAGAAGCTGATTGGAAGAGGGAAAGAGATGCAGAGCAGGGACAAGAGATAGATTAATGAAAAGATTGTGCTGCATTAGCACTGAGCAGGATGAGAGGAGAAGCCCAGAGAAACCTCACATGCCAATCATCTGCCCACAGGCCAGTGCATGGATTAACTAAGCAAAGAAATGGTCTGAGAAATTCAATTAAAAAACGAATAAATAAGCAGGCAGCTATTCCTCTGGCCAGGGGTTAGTTTTGTAAAAAACAATCTAAATTAAAGTTCCAAGCAGCATAGAATGAGCCCTCACACCCTCATGCACATCAGAGGTGTTGGCAGGACACCGGTTGATGCTTCTCTTCATTCTCTCCACCATCAGACACTGCACATACTACAGGTTATGTTATTTCCTGCATAGAACATGTAGCAGTGATCATGATGCATTGCACATTTTTTATCAGCTCTTGTGTCTAATTTGTGGCAGTACGGGAAGTGCACCAAACATTAGTAGCTGGTAATGAAATGTCCCTCCAGGGCTTACTTTTGGGACGGGTAGGCCTTAGCACCTCCTACTTCCTGATTTCTAATTTGTTTGGTTCCCTATATAAGCCAGGGTTTTTATTTGCATGCAGTCCTTTTCGTCTGATCCCTGGTGCAACAGGTTGATATAGCTGTGTGCAATGGTATGATCAGGAGAGGTAAATGCCAGCATTAGGTTTGTTTATTTTATGTATTTGTTTGCCTATTGTTAATCTGCTCTGTTCAGTATTTTATATATGTATACATATGTATTTTTCTTACAATTTTAAGTCTCTTGTTTGGAATAAATTTTCTGTTTTAATATCATGTTTAAATTGTCAGTTGTTAAATAAATGGTTGTAATCTTGGGGGAATTCCAGATCTCAGTCCATCTTTTACTGTCATATGTGTCATTATAAATGATTTCTGGGCCTCTAGCCTGTTGGCCTCAGTACACTATAAGACTTTAATTAAATCCGGCCCTTGCCTGGGCCTGTGGTCACACATGCATCATATTAATAAATATCAAATGTAGACCAGACCGCAATGTATAGACCCTCAAAATGCCACCAAGAACATGCTGTTCAACTAAATCTGAGAAGCTCTGGAATTAGTGTTGCAAATGCAATTAAATTTTATTTGTATAGCACCAAATCATAATATACATTATCTCAATGCTCTTTCAAGAGAAATCTTATTTAATATAGAGAAACCCAACAGTTTCCACAATGAGCAGCACTTTGGAGACTGCGGAGAGAAAAAAATCCCTCATTAACAAGGAGAAACCTCTAGAACCAGACTCAATGTGGGCTGTCATCTGCCCCGACCGGTTGGAGTGAACAGAGAAAAATGGGGAGGAGAAGGGAGATGGGTGGAAAAGAAAAGAGAGTGAGATAGTGGGGAGGGAGGTGAGAGAGACTGGGAACACTTGTGCACCATCAGGTATCAGCTCTGACTAGTTAAAATGTTAACAATAACAGTGTTAAGAAGTTATTGATTATTTTTATAACAGTAACAATTCATATAATAATTAATTGCTATGAAGTATTGTTGTTAATAATTATAATAATAATAATAGTAGTTCTCCTGCAGTTCTGGAGTCAGAGATGCCTGCAATGAGAGAGAGAAAGAGAGAGAGCGACTATGGGAGAAAAAAAGAAACATAGTTATTGACATGTATTAAAATAAATGAATGAGGGGTGCAGAAGACAGATAGAGGGGGAGAAGTGCTCAGTGGATGATCGGAGTTCCTCCAGCAGTCTAGACCTATAGCAGCAT